AGTCTTTTTACGAAGCCCGTCACTAGGAAAGGTCTTTGAGTAGCTATTCAGCAGGCTGAAGTCCGCTCCGTTATCAAAATCGAGCAAACGAATCACTTTATTAACCCAAAATCGAGGCTCCGAATTTGAATGTCAACGAGAGCATACTTTCGTCACCACCAATCATACGTATGCAGACCCCCTCTTTCCTCCTCGCCTCCCCCACTGCCTTAGCGTTCAGTCTGACGTAGTTCTTCAACTTTCAGTTCACCTTGCCTTGCCAGTTTTGCTGCAGTAGGCCTTCGGTGCCCTCTCTCTCTCTCGCCACCATCCGGGATAGAAAACACGAGCAAAGGGAACGACTGCGATCGAGATGAATCGGCAGTGTGCGAGGAAGAAGCTACAACCACGTGCAACAACTTAAAACGGGGTCACGATCTCCGGGGCGGATGGGAGCACACCTCAACACCACAAGGATTACGTATGAGCCTCGCTATTCTGCTATCAGTGGCCACGATGAGTTGCAGCCATGCCTCTTACTACTAAAAATGGATCTTCTACTAAAATTCGGCCAGATACATTTCCCCCTTTTTCCTGGCGCAGTCCCTACAGGACATACCGGCCAAACTACTGCCTATTTCACAAAACTAACATGATTATTGGATCCCGAGCTCCTCATAACTTCCTCTTGGACTCTTCATAAACTCAATTTCATTTGTGAATGAGCAAGATACATAATTTTTACTTTTTTTTCTTACTTCATCGTCACCCTCGACTCTTTCACGGACCTTTTTTTTTTCCCATCTCCCATTGCGTTGCCCTGTTGGCTAAACAGTCGTCGTCATTCAAGTCGCAATATAGCAAACCCCCCCAAATAACACTAACTCGCTCGATTCCGTCGAGAATCGAGTGAAAAATCATTTTTCTCATTTCTTTCATAGCCTGCTTTTACCACCCCTCCGCATTGTGCCTCTTCTGTGTTGCGTTGCCCTGTTGGCTAAACAGTCATCGTCATTCAAGTCGCAATATAGCAAACCCCCCCAAATAACACCCTAGCTCGCTCGATTTCGTCGAGAATCGAGCGAGAAATCGTTTTTCTAGTCGGATTAATGTGGGCTCTCGTGTAATGGCCCGTATGTTTCCTAAAATTGTGGCTTGTATACGAGCACGACTTAAGGTAGTACTGGTAGTTTTATAAGTACCAACCTGGCACAGCGTGGTTCATATGACTACTTGTTGGTTGTTAGATACATTGGTTGTTATGTCGTGGCCTGTACTTATATATATGGGCATATGTGGTTGCTTTCCACTATTGATGAGCCTTGCTTATGTTTGTTTATTCGCTAGGGAGAATCGACCAGTGGTATTGGGGGAGACATCGTCCGTCATCAACTACCCTCGACCAACCGCTGCCAACTCACTCACCTGAATGGGTCAACAACCAACGAGAGTAGGACACACCCCTTGATTCGACATTGGTTTCCCTACAAGGCAGCCCTTCCCTACCATCGGACTGCCACGGTATCGCCATGCACCCCTAACCCCCCTTGCCACCCCCCGACCCAAGAGAGCAGCATTCATCCTACCAAAGGCTTTCCCATATGAAAGCCACACGTCCGCACCCAAAGCCATCCAGAGAATCATCCCTTAGCTCATATGACGGCTGAGCATAGTTTGGAGTTGAACCCGGGACCTCCGGATTACAATATCAGAGCGCTATCCACTGAGCTATTGAGGTCGTTAGACTGTAAGGCCGCTACGCCAGGCTCGGGACAAGTGAGAGGGGTGCAACCTACACCAACCAATCGTGCTCGGGGGAAATTGTGGGCCGACAAAGTCGAACCCGCAACCTCCTCGTTGCAAACCCGGAGCTCTACCCACTGAGCTACCACGCACTTGCTTACCAACTGACTACCTCGAAGGTAAGACGCCAAGCATGCCACAGGCACTATCGTGGGGGCAATGGGAATTGAACCCATGACCTCATGAGTGCCGCTTGAACGCCTTACCAACTGAGCTACACCCAGATGGGGGGTGACGACCGGCAGGCGCAGGCGGGGGCAATTTGACACATTTTCTAATTTTGCCACTCCACCAGTTGTCTCGAATCGCAAAGCGGAATGTGGAGCTAACCACCACTACCTCCGAACCTCTTTTCGCCGAGGCAGACTTGTCATGCGCTCTGGAAAAAGAAGAAAAAACGGCACAGGTGCACTTCCCTTTTTTTTTTTTTTGGCTGGCCGCGCCAGCCATTTTGATTCTGTAGCGATGCTCATCCCAGGAATCCCGTACTGCACATATATATTTTTAACTTCAAGTCGTGGACACCACTTGGGGAGGTGGTACGAGCAGCCTCCCTAAGTGGCTCCGCGGTTGAAGGCTCCATCTATTGGTCGGGAGCAGCACCTGCTGGAAACCGGGTCCAGCGTCCCATATATTACAAGACATTCCCATGACTCACAGTGATCAGACTGACTCATGTACTCAGGATTTCCTATCCTTAATGTTGCCTGTTGCCTGTTCCCCCCGAGCTGTGCGGGAGCTAGGCTGTTATAAGTTGCTTGCAGAATCGAAGGGTGGGCCTCGCCCCCCACTGGCTGCCCCTGTTCCAGCTGGGGGGAATGGGCCCTTTCTTGTCTGCCGTCGTGTAGCCCTGGTCCTCGGTTGTCATCTTGGACAGCTCACCCTCCTGCATGTCATCCTATTGCTGAATGTGACAACGCTGGGGATCTTCATAGCTGCTATTGTCATAGCCGGAGTGGTCACCCATTGTGGAGGACTGTTATTGCCTGTCCATCGTGCATGGCCTGCTGACTCGGACCTTGGTCACGGGGCCGTGGGTAGAATACCAATGTTGGGGCGGAACACCATTTGTGGTGAGAGGGAGGTGGGGAAGTAGGTGATGGGGGGTCCACGGGAAGGGGAGATGACAAGGTTAGGGGGGTCGGGCCAGCAAGGGTAGGGGGAGGGGGGGGCCGGGGTGGGCTAGAGAGGGAGGGGAGGTTGCGAGATTGGAGAAGGCCACGAGGGGGTGGGTGGATAAGCAGTCGGGGGGAAGGGAGGTGAAGAAGAGAGAGGATACGGGTACGACGGTGGAGGTGGGGTGGGGAGTGGAGGCTGGGGTTGGGAGGGAGAGATGGAAGGTTGGGTGCAAGACTGAGGAGTTCCTCCTCCTACGGGTGCACGATCCACTATCAATGTGCATCCTGCCCGGCAGCGGGGTATGGAAGCAATCAAGCGGCCTCAACTGCCACTGCTTTTCTTTGGCAAGCCAGTTCGTCCATATCAATGTCCCATCATCGTGTATATCTGCCATCTTCCTCTGGGGGTCAAGACAGAGGTCCTTGACTTCTGAGATAGCATGCCGCTTCCCCAATTGACCTGCTATTGCAGGCAGCGCAGTGAGCAGCTTCTTATTCGCCTTTACTATGTTAGCCCTAATGTGCTTCCCGATCTCTGCTTCACGGAGGCCAAAGGTGAACTCTTGGCGCTCGGTATAACATCGTGTTCTCCAGGTAACCATGAGTACGGCCAGGCAGGTATGCTTGAACAGGTTTCGTTGAAAAGCAGACCGGGTGGATGGGTAGTCTGTTTGTCTTCCCAACAGTATAAGGCCAATATCACATTGGAAGGGGGTGCCTGAGAGCTTACACCACAGTGCATCCCACCATCACCAGACTTGGAGAGCCATGGGGCAAGCCAACAGACAGTGCTCCAGATCTGCTCGGCGCCGTTGTGATGAGGAGTGCCTGCAGTAGGTGCAGATCGGGACAACACCCCTTTTTGTTTGAGATTCAAGCGTGCCGTTAATCAGTCCGGGGTCGGGAGACATCGGTGTATGATCTGTCACTGAAGAGCCCGGTGAGAGGTAGGCATTATGTGCGAATAAGAGGCCCAAGGAATCTCTCTCAGCTTAGCTTCTTCCAACGCTGAATCATGGGTCCATCCGTTGCGAACGACCGAGGTTGATGGGTGGAGGTGGTGGGCCTGTTTATACCCGTTCTTTACCGTATACTGCCAAAGCGGGGTAGGTTTATGTCCAGTCCATTCCCACTCGTTAGGATCGAAAGGGGGGGCGCAAATGGGGGAGGTCATCTCAAAATCAAAATAACCTGTGTCGTCATCTCCCACAACTCGGATTCTGGTAAGAGTGTCGTTGGGGTGCTGGCAGTCAAGGTCAGGATTCCTTCTCAGACCAGTCCACTTGGCCCCTGGCATGATCGGTTCGTATGCCTGCAATTTTGTTGCTCCCACAGCCACATTAACCACTCTATAAATGACCATGGGGATCGGGTTGAAGTCGTTGTCGGAAACCCAGTCATCCTTCCTTAATTGCAGGCCATTTTTTAGAGCCCCTACCCAGCTTGGTACTGCAGCCTGCAGTTGGTCGAGTTTTGCCTAGCTGTTTTTAATGCGCCTGAGGACCGGTCACAGTTGCTGTGCTGTTGTCCATGTTCCCCCCAGACTCAGAACAGTTTGGATGTTTAATATTGTTTATCAGAGAGTAGCACATTTTTTTTAATCTTTTGTATGGGCTTAGGAGTAGCAGTAGGTAGGTAGTGAAAGGTGAAATTGAGAGAAAAGTGGCACTTCGCATAGTGTTGTGCAGAAGATGCAGAACAGTTTGGATGCTTAAACCACCAGTGCTTGGCCCAGCTATTGATGCCGAGCCCGGGCAACGACCGGCATGTAAAGTTTTCCCGAGCGGCTGCCACATCATTTCGTTTTTCGTTTTTCGTTTTTCGTTTTTGGTTTTTCGTTTTTGGTTTTTGGTTTTTGGTTTTTCGTTTTTCGTTTTTCGTTTTTCGTTTTTCGTTTGGCTGGCGCCTCCAGCCATTGTGGTCTGGTACCCGAAGCCCATCGGTCACGCTGCGTTAACAAACGCCCTCGGCCGATGTATGGGCCAAAGTACTGGTGGTTTAATATTGTTTATAGGGGAGTAGCATTGGACACAGAGTGTTGTGCACTGTATTGAGCCCATGCGGCTGACTGGTGTCTCTCAATAAGCAGGTGGTGAGTTCATATCCTGGGGAAATCCGAGATGGATATGGCAATGTTTTTTTTCTTTTTATCTTTTTCTAATTACAACAGCAATAATCCATTCACCAAAGAGTTTTCCACGGCCTGGCTGCTGCCGAGTCTCATGGCCTCCTCTCACACGAATGCCATCTTACATGCGCGGGACCACATTTATGCCCGGACCTGGATGTATCTGACTGCAAGCGCATCCATAAATAAGTAGAAAAAACGTCCTGATGTGAGTATGCCCTCAGAAGTAGTCCTCCTGTGTGTCTGATGGATTCACCAACTCGATCTTACGCGTGGCAGAATTGTCCTCATCGTCGTAATCCTCGAGGTAGTACTTGAGGATCTGGCTCTTCACTAGGCGCCGCAGCTTCACACCACAGAAACACATGGAAGGTCGGACAACAGCGCGGCAAAGTAGGAGGGAATAGTATCATATTATTATGTTGGTGTCGAGGAGATGATAGGGGAAAAAAGGAAAGAAAATTTTAGAGAAAAAGATAAAATGAGTGGCGTATCGTTCCTCGATCAGCCGTATTGAAGTGGAAATAGCTGTCAAATGCAACCAGTGGTTCAGACTCTTCAGAGATACGCAACACTCATTTGCACAGGTCATTGCCAGTTTCAGTACGAATTGTTGTTGAGATCACTCACACGTGGTTTCGCTGCAATCTATCTGAAATGTCATCACAGTAGTTGGCAAGTGTGAGGTGAGGAGGAAGTTGCAAGGAAGGATGGGGAGCAGAAAAGGAAATCAAAGAAGGAAAGAGAGGGGGAAGGGGAGGGGAGTGGAGTGGGGAGGGAGGAGGGGGGAGGGGGAGAGGGGGAGTGGAAGGGATGTAACAGTTGAACCATTGATAAGGTAATGTGGTCGGGACTTGTCAATGTGGTACAGAAAAGCGGAGCGGCTGTGGAATTTGTGGATCGAGTGGAAAAAAAAAAAAAAAAAAAAAAAAAAAAAAAAAAGAACCGGGGTAACCATGGCGCAGTCAAGTTTTCAGTTATAAATCCACTTCAGGCATCCCTCGAATACAACACATCCCCACCCGACCCTGAAAATGTGTTGGATACGTTTGTGATTTTCCTTGCTTCGGAGGAAAATTTACGAAAAGTTCCGAAAACGGATTTAAAACTGAACACCTCACTGCGCCCTAGGTTTCCCCAAAAAACAAAGACAGATGGTTGCCATGCCCAGGAACTCAGCTTGGAAAGTGAGAAAAAAAGACAGCTGCGATGACCAGAAATTTCATAAGGGATTTTGAAAATTTTCAACTTTTTAACGAAGGGTTTATCAAGGGTTTGTTAAAATGCCCACAGGAAAGCAGTACTTTGCACTGATTGCAACGTCGCAGACCCGGCAAACAGAAAGACTACTCCCATTCACGGAGAGCCTGTATAGTGCCTCGTATGGTTTTTCATTGTGGATGTACGGGTGTATGTGTGTGTGTTTGATTGTGTGTGTGTCTCTGACTCTTGTGTGTGTGTGTGTGTGTGTGTGTGTGTGTGTGTGTGTGTGTGACTGTGTGTGGGTGTTGTCATATTCACTGTACTGTGTATGCCGAACAGACTGTTTCGTTGGACTTTCACCGACTCATCAAGAGGTTGTGTGTGTGTTTGATTGTGTGCGTCTCTGACTGTGTGTGTGTGTGTGTGTGCGCGCTAGTGGGCAAGGGGAAGGTGAGTGGGCAAGCAAACAACGCAAAGCAGCTACAGGAAGAAAACACAAAAGTATGCTGAAAGAAATCATCAAAAACGAAAACCACGAGCGAAACAAACAAAAGCTGATGATAACAAGATTGTTTCCTTGGAGTTGCACCAACTTATCAGGGGGCTGAACCCTCAACAATCTGCGGAATCTCCGTATTGATGCTTTGGGTCATCGACCCTTTGACACTTGTTGAAGGCAGACTGTCCCCAAGCGGAACATAGCTGCGGGCAACAACTCAGCGAAGCACCAAGCAATGTAGTTGAGGGAACACGACTGCACAACGCTGACGCCGAAAGCAAACATGGACATCGGCAAGCAGACGAGCAGCACGGCACAACGCAGTGAAACACAAGGCAACACCAACACAGCAGCCACACTGTACAGCACACAAGCAAGGACTGAGGAACACAGGCGAGGCAGCAACATGACAAAACACAAGGGAACACCGTCACTGCAGCCACACCGCACAGTGAACAGAGCGATTGCAAAGAACATCATGCGTAGCAAGCACAACAACCAGCAAGGCACACGACAGAACGCAAGGGAACACCCTCACTGCAGCCACACCGCACAGTGAAACAGCGATTGCAAAGAACAACGTGCGAAGCAAGCACAACAACCAGCGAGGCAGTGGCCGGGCGCAGACAAGGCAGTGGACACATACAACACGGAGCAAAACGGCACATCACCTATTCACATCAGACTGTTGGTTTCCAATACCCACTGCGCCAGGGAGTCACCCCAACGGTGTCATCACACATGGACCCTATGCCCCACGCAGACCTCATGAACAGAGCAGCTACTCTGCATGCACTCCAAACAACAGACGACCTACTATTGAGCACTGCTTAAAGGTGCTCACTCGACCACACATTAAGTACTTGGAAAAAAAATTAAAAAAAAACAAAAAAGGATAGGCATACATAAAACGGATTGTATGTGTGTGTGTGTGTGTGTGTGTGTGTGTTGTTTTAAAAGACCCCAGATTCTCCTTCTCATTCTCTATGTAGAAGCTCCTTTTACCATTTTTGATGGGATATATGGCTCTACATTCTTTTTAGCTATTGGACTCCATGCATGTCATCATAGGAACCATTTTTCTTATTATCTGTTGTGTTCCTCAGTACATGGCTTCACAAATCATCACAAGCCATCCATAACGAAAAAGTATAGATAGGCAATATAATAAAAAATGCAAGGTTGGCCACGTTTGTGTGGTTCAGCGCCAAGTGCCCACGCACCCGTCTGCCGCCAAAGCGGCACGCTTGCACACATACATATGTATTCATATATATTTCAAACCGTAAGGGCGTGGAGGGAAGAAGGCACCGACCCGACCCTCTCAAAGGTCCGAAAAAACTTGGAGAGCCTTCCGCATCGGCCCACAAAACCAAACACTCATTTATCGAAAACAAACAAATATAACAGCATTGGCATTCCCGACATTCATCTCAAACTCCACACTCGCGTCCGTGCCGAAGAGGAGGAAGAAGATAAGAGACAACTTACCTAAGACAAAAGACTCCTCTAGAAAGAATGCACCAACCCTCCCTGCTAAGGGTCCAAAAAAACAAGCCCTCCACGCCGGCCCACTACAAATATATTCCCCCCAACTCGTGGTCGCCCGTAACAATCCAAACAGCCCATGATCTATAAAGCAGGGCAAAGGATTAGGCCGTGTATAATCAACAAAACCAACTAGACATATCCGACCACAAAAAGAGAGAATAAATGTGTGTGTGTGTGTGTGTGTGTGATGATTTGTGGAAAACAGCCATGTCTGTGCAAAATTTGTCATATGAGTTGTGCCGCATCGTTCAGTAATAAAATGCTTTGTTAAACCAGTTTGGACTGATCGTCATTGATGTTTTTGCAGTTTTGAAAAGTGAAATTTATCACAATAATTTCACGAAAACAACCTGGATTGCCGATGCCAGAACAACGCTGCTCGGAGCTGGGGCATAGCCCTGTAACCTGTAATTGGCAGGGGTGGGAGGCCTTGTAGAGAGGGCTGGGGTTTGCTGAGGGAGGAAAGCAAGCCAATGGTGAACCAGGAGKGGCTACCTTGACAACCTATGGGGTGGGGTTAGTCTGGGTAGTGAGGAGAGMTCAGCTATGGCAGTGGGGGGATAGGTTTGTCTTGTTCTAGAGTTGCAATATCCTGGTAAGGGAGGGCTTGGAGTTGTTCAGGATTAGGAGTCCAGTATGGCTGACTCAGCATGTATAGCTACATTTTTTGTCATCACTGGCATCATTAGTATCATCAGCATTAGAATTTTCTATTCTCAGGTTTTCTCAGCCGAAGCCGGATAATGGCCCCGGTGTTACAAACTGATGTATGTTCATATGGGACATTGGGCCCGGTTCCCAGCACGTGCTGCTCCCTACGAATAGACTGAAACTTCTTTCTGTCAAAAAAAAAAATTCACGAAAACAAGCCTGTAGTGAAATGAATGGGAAAATTGACTTGAAAAGTCGACAGTGTTTTGAGTTGATTTGTGTGAAACACATATTTGAGGAGCCCCAGCATGGTAAAGACCACCACTGCCCCCAAGGCGACCTGTCTGGAAGGGAAGGTGGACACAGACTCACCGCATTGTTGCAACCACCTGGACTTGGGCAAAACAAACAAAATGCATGTGGCTGAGATGAGGGTCAACAGAACAGGTAGGTGCAATTTCACATAAGGGGAATTTTGAAGGAAGGGGAATTTTGAGAGAGAAAAGGTTCGTACCGCAAAGCTTGCGAGGAAAATTTCGGGTATTAAGAAACTTGCCATCATCACTCCAAGTGCTTTGTCGAAGGGTGTTCTTCCCTACCATTCAACCAATACCACAAAATTGCCCGTTAGATGATGGGGTACGACCTTGTCAGAGAAATCGAGTATGAAAATCCAGAATGGTCCTAAAGTGGTTAAAACTCCGAAGACCCTGAAAACCATTTGTTTAGGTAGGTTGCATCCTCAAGTGGTGAAGGGTGGTTTTTATGGTCTTCGGACCTTTCACCACTTCAGGACGATTCAGGATTTTCAGACTGCGCAAAACTCTCACTTAACCACTTCAGGACACCCTTCACCACTTCAGGATGCAACCTGCCTAAACAGGTGGTTTTTAGGGTTTTCGGACCTTTCACCACTTCAGAACCATTCAGGATTTTCAGACTGCCCAACTCACTTCAGAATTTTCATTCCTGAATTTTCAGCTTCCCGATAACCGCTTGTGATTTCTTCCTCTCAGTTGCTTAGGCAATTGATTATCGGGTCCAACTTCCACGTCAGTTAAGCCTAGGATTTCATAAGATTTCTTTCCGTGATCATTCTTCGTGCAAGAGTTTTCGAAAATGAAGTTGAATAAACACATTAGTGATGGATGTGCAGACTGTTCTTCGACAACTCCCCATCTAACCTTTTTATCTGTCGCTCCCCATCCTCCCCACCAATAATAGATGGAGCCTTCAATACAGGGGCCTGCTTAAGGAGGATGCTCTTATCACCTCGTTAAGCAGAATTTTCGGGGTGTAAAAAAAAAAAAAAAAGTTAAAAAAAGTTAAAAAAACCCTTTGTTGCATCCCGCTCTCCCCTTCTTTCATCCATCACTTTCTTGCATCCCTTCTTCTTCCTCCTCATCCCTTTGCCGCACTCCTCCATTCCATTGGCTGCGTTCAAGGTGGATGAAGGCGTGAAACCGCCAGTACTTCATAAAGTTGTGCCCCGTTAACAAACCACAATGTCAGGAAACGTACGGGTCACTGTAGGAGTGTCCAAATTCATCCGACTTGAAACATTTCTACTCTATTTTTTTTCGCGGCTACTAGCTGGGCGAAAGTAGTGGTGGTTTAACCAGCTACCTCAGCCCAACATCGATTGGTGATATGACCATACGACCATGACTTGCCGATTTTTGCACCAAACAGGAAATGAGGGTTCCAAGCGGCAGTCCTTCGGGACATCTGTTAAAATCGGAACGATACAGAGAAAATGACCTTCTTCCCCCGAATACAACGTACGGTCATTATGTTTGTATTTAGATTGAAAGTTGCTCCAAGCGGTACTCGAGTCCTCTTCGAACTGTACGAAGCCTTGTTATAGTGAACTCATGTGAGAGCCATGACCTTCGGCCTACATAGAGGGGAGTATGACACAAACTCAATTTGTAGTAGAAAATCAACTTCGGTCTGCTATGAACAAGGAATTGAAGCGGCACGCCGTGCCATTACCAGGAAATTTCAGAGAAATGATAAAATATGAGTGAGTTCTTTTTCAGATGTTTCTATTACCAGCAAACCTACAGAAGTAAGGATGGGAAAAGGAAAAGGAAACCCTACAGGTTGGATTGCTGATGTTTCCCAAGGACAAATTATTTTTAAAATGGATATATTCTTTTATTTTCAAGATCTGCAGAGAAACCCTGTGTCACGCATCTTCGGACTTTTCCACGGTCTCACCAAGTACTATCGCATAACAGACTCGAAGCGCCAATACATAGCTAGATTGTCATATATATATATATATATATACATCGTCACAATATATATATATATATATAAACAATTTCGTCTAAACGGAAACTTTATGTCACGTATCTCCGGACTTCTCCACGGTCTCGCCAATTACTATCGCATAGCAGACTCGAAGCGCCAATGCATAGCTAGATTGTCATATATATATATATCGTCACAAACATAACTGCCCGGTAAACCGTAGGCAGAGAGAGAAAAGAGGACAACAAACGAGGAGTTGTGACAAACTGTTTCGTCGGAGTTTCACCGACTCATCAGGAGGCTATATATATATATATATATATATAAACAATTTTGTCTAAATGGATACTTTTAGTTTTTTGAATGAAATTGAAACCGACTAAATTGGCCTGATTCAGGTCGAGAAGTTCACCGCACCCTCAGGACTCACGTCCAGACACATCCAAGGGGTCCGACATTTTAAAAACACCGAACCCTCAAAAGCTTAAAAATTTGACGTGAACCATGACAATTTAGTCGGTTTCAATTTTGTTCCAAAAAAAAAAAAAAAAAGTATGTGCTGAGTCAAAAGGTTTTATCAGCAACAACTCTGAGCAATATTAACCTGAATTGGGTCGGTGAGGACTACATAGAAACGAAATTTTAAGGCGTACAAAGTGAATGAAACAAATAAGAAAAGAGCTTCATAAATGCACAGTTGGGTATTCCACTTACCGTTTCCATCCTGATTTATCTATGCGGGTGCCATTTCTAAACAAATTCCGAATAAGGATTATCCGGTCGAAAGCAAAAAAAGGTATTTTGCCTTAAAGAGAAGGGGAAAAAAAAAAGGAGTCGATCACGTTGCAGACGTCGATAATTGGATCAACTTTTGTTTGAAGATCATCTTTGAAGTCCTTCCACAGATGAAAATGAAAAATAAAAAAGAGAAGATGGAAATCAATTGAGCAACCCCCTTCGAAGCCGCCCCCCTACAACTTGTTTATACACCCCTGATGAAACCATTAAACCCCTAACAAGCTTTTCATGAAATGGGAACGCAGTTTTGTTCTGCATGATATGTGTAACATGCCTTTTCCTTCTTCTTTTTTTTATACAAGAAAACAACCCAAGATGATGCTAGGGGTGTTGATAGGAGCAGACACCACTAGCAGTCTCGGGAGGGCTCCATCTATTGGTGGGGAGCAACACTTGCTGGAAAGCGGGTCCAACGTCCCAAATCATTTGTAATCGAATGTTTGAACAGTTGTAAATGCGCAGGCACGCGCTGATGGGCAGCATTGATTGCCATTGAGCGAGGGGATTGACTGCCCATCAAACCCTAGCACCCTTACCCTACCTTATTCAACTACTATACTGATATAGTAAGAAGGGGAAAAAACCGGACAAGGTTTGATTTCTACTTCTACAATTTTGTACCCAGTGTTGCCAGCGCATGTGTCTCCCCTATAACAGTAATTAACAAAACCAATCAAGTGGCCGGAACCAAACGACAAGCCCTAAGAGCAACCAACAAATCCTAGTGACATATGCAACAACACTTCTCCCCACCCAACCCTCGGCCCACCACATGGCAGATACTTGTGATCATTATTATTGGTGTGCCCATCATAATTCGTAATGGGCAAACGTCGATCGAAACAAGACAGGCGAAGATATGACAATATTACCTGTCGACAAAAAACAACTGGAAGTCCTATCCCTACCCCTCCTCGCCACTACAGTGCACCTTTCCACGCCCCCCGTTCAGTAAGCGGCGACCAAAACAGAGAAGAGAAGGGAGCAAGAGGAGAAAAGAGTCGTCGCCAGTTCCCCGACGCACTCACCGCGTTATTGTTGATGTCGATTTCGCCAGTCGCCCTGTCGATGATTCAGTCGTTGCTGTTATTGTTGTAATTGCTTTTATTATTGCCGTTTCAGTGTCAAAATCACCATTACCAAAATTGGCGACCTCTGTGATACTGTTGTTGTTGTTGTTGATGTTGTTGCCGTTGTTGTTGTCATTGTTATTGTTGGTGGTGGTGGTGTCTCTTTCATCAACACACGACCGTGAGATCACACCGACAACAACGCTGCCGGTGTTGTTGTTGGTGGTGGTGTTTTTTTTTTTTTTTTAACCGTCCTCCTCGGTGTTAGTGGTGCTGGTAAGAGAAGACACCACTACCACCTGGGAGGAGGCTCCATCTATTGGTGGGGAGCTTCACCTGCTGGAAAGCGGGTCCAACGTCCCTTTTTAAGGACTGAGTTTGAATACATGATGCTCTTGCCAGCACCCTGGAAAAACAGGCGCCAGACTCTTACTTTTGCACACTAGATCCCCCCTTTCCCGCCCTTGATCAGAACACTTTCTTTGTCCCAGGCCTACTTCCCCTCTGTCCCAGGCTCCCTTATCCCTCCCCTTGTCCCATGTCTACTTTTTTTTTCCTTCCTTAACACCCATACCACTGCAAGTCCACCATGCTATTGATCGGGGGGGGGAAGGGGTCGGGGAAGTTATCCGCTGTTTTCATCAAGATTGAGGGGTCCATATTGGTCCACTCGTGAAAGCTCAGTCAGTAATCTTTATACAACCTTTCTTCCTCTTGGTCTGTCCCTGGGTTCCTTTCTACCCTTCCTAACCTTCCCCCTTCTTTCCCCCCGAGCCATTTTTCGCAGAAATCCTGTAGTTTGTGGTTTGTTTCTTGTTGTGTATGTGTGTATTGGATCTGAGTCTTAACTTCTTCCCAGTGAATTGTTATCTCTGTTTGAATTTGTTGCTGTATGCTTTCAATGAATTCAGGCCCTTCCAACCTCACCCCTTCCATCTCATATGTACAACGGCGTTTCCACAGTGCCCATAGCACCGCCCTACATCCCAGTTTAAACATGTTCTGGGTGAAGTCGTCCTCCTGATTTGTATTCCATGTTTCTAATAACAGTGCTTGCCAATTCCATGGCCAGGGCTTCGTTACTTCCAGCTGATCCCAGATCCTGTCCCACCAGCGCCAAAGTAGGACCGCTCCGGGGCATTGCAAGAAGATATGTTCTATGGTTTCTGGCCTTTTCCTGGTTGGAAAGGAATGTAAACAGAGTTCGCACCAGGGCAAGGCCCGCCCATTTTGTTCCAAGGATGTCCTGTCTGTTAGCCAGTCATTTGTTGGTAGGTGTTGTCTTTTTTTTTTTTTTTTTAACAAAAACAAAGCTCCATCTATTGGTGGGGAGCAACACCTGCTGGAAACCGGGTCCAACGTCCCATAGATACAACCATATCCTCACAAATTGGCACGAACTGGGAACTGGGCCCATCGTCCCATAGCGAACATTCAGAAAACTTGTCAGAAAATTCATGCAAATGAGGCTAGGAACCTACTAGAAAAATCCAATTGGCCTAAGAATGGAATTTTGAAAATTGAGATACCGGGGCCGTTACCCGGCTTTGGCTCAGAGAATTAGAGCTACTTCAGACATGTCTATGACAACTTCATGATTCAGAAACGACTCAGAAGAACCCCCCTCAATCCACTTTACCTCCCTTTGGCAAGACTGACTGCAGCGGAGCCACCATCTCTGCTGCTGCTATACCATACTCCCATCCTACCAGCTAGCCCCTTCACTGGCAGGAAGCGTGATAACCCACCATCTTCTCCCACTCTCCTTATTCTCTTCTTTTTTTTTTACGACAAACTTCAAAATATGAACAAAATTTCGGAAAACTACTCGAAATACCCCCCCATCCATCCACTTTACCTCACTCTGGCAAGACTTACTACAGCAGAGCCACCATCTCCGCTGCTGCTATGCCCTATTCCCATCCTACTAGCTAGCATCCTACTAGCTAGCCCCCTCGCTAGTAGGACGCGTGATATCCCACCATCTCCTTCCCCACTCCCCCTCGTTCTTTTTTGGCTAAAAAATGGAGCAACATAAGAAATAACTACAACAGGCTTCAATAATTAGCAGGATTCAAAATCCGGCTTCGAAAGAAACCCCCCCATCAATCCTCTGTTCCTCGCTCCGGCAAGACTTACTGCAGCAGAGCCACCATCTCTACTGCTGCTATACCCTATTCCAATCCTACCAGCTAGCCCCCTGTCATGACTGATGATGCCGCCAATGTCGCCAGAATCGCCATCAAAAGGACCGGCAGCAGCAGCAATGATATTGTCGTTATCGCCAGAATCGCAATGAAAGGGACCGGCAGCAGCAGCAGAGATATTGTCGTTGTTGCCATTAATGTTGATTTTGTTGTTGTTGTTGTTGTTGTTGTTGTTGTTGCTGTTGTTGTTATTGTTGTTGTTGTTGTTGTTTCTGTTGATGTCGATGCATGGACATCCTGCCACTTGCGTAGGTGTTGCGGGTGATGATGGCGAATTGTCCTCCTCCTCCAGATCTAACTGAGCCTACCAGTGCTCCATGGACACGGCGCACAGTGCTTGCCCCTCCTCAAAGACTGTGTAGCAGTGTCGCATCAAAGTCGCCGCCTGTCGCTGGTCAATAAACCTTGCCAAATAAGAAGCTGGCCCCTCCTCCAGCTTTGTGATAATGTGCACAAGGCTCTGCATCATGCTCTGGTGTGTAACATGCCTTTTTCAATCATCTGGAATCCGGTAGCAGATTTGCCATGATGCCACCTAGTCTGTAAAAAATAGTAGATTCAAACCTCTCTCTCTCTCTCTCTCTCTCTCTCTCTCTCTCTCTCTCTCTCTCTGTGTGTGTGTGTGTGTGTGTGTGTGTGTGTGTGTGTGTGTGTGTGTGCACGCCTTTAAGCTGGAGGCGCTTTTGTTTTTATGATTTCCTCCAACCTCTTTTTTTTTTTAATAAGGGATTCAAAAATGCTTGGGTTCTCAGTCTCCCGCCCGGACAGTTCTTGTATTGAGATTTCAGGATGTCCAGTTGTGTGCCGTCTCTATCTATCTGAACAAAGGTATAGCTTCCCTTCTGTAGTTGTCATGCTAAATTTTAAACTTCAATTTATTTTCAACTTATTTGACAAAACCATTCACTGGCTGCCTATTATTGGGGGTGATAAGAGCATCCTCCAATAATAGACTCCCTATTATAGATGGCTCCAATCTTATTGGTGGGGAGCTGCACCAGCTGGAAACCGGGTCCAAAGTCCCAATTACAAAGACAGAGCAAGTTATAAGTTGTATACGACGGACAACATTGATTGCCCTCAGACGAGGGGATTGACTGCCCATCAGACGAGATGGTGGACTTACCTTTTTCCTGGCAACAGCTTGATTGACTGCCCATCATGTGCACAGCTACGTACCAAACCCTAATAAAGGAGAGTCCCCAGACCCCTCCAATCTAGAGAAACACACTACCCACCCTCCTATCTCATCCACTCATCAGGCCGCAATTACTATATCTGATTTTCAAAGTCATACCCACCCCTCTCAAAAGATGAACAGGAAATTCCAAAAATGCGGGCATCAGGTCTAAGTTGCTGTATCGATAGGTGGCAGAAGCACCTCAATGTGGATAGAAACCTTCTTACACCAATACGGTGGTTTCAAGACTGCAAGTGCAGGCCGGCAAAAATCACCTCGCTCCAATGGCAAATCGCTCACCGCTGCCTCCCTACAAACAACTGGCTGATCGACCATACTCAGTTGGAACAGCAAGGCAAAGCCCTACCATGGTGCACACGCTGCCTGCAGGGATTCCCGGCCAGGAAAAGGCCGGAAACAATCGAAAACATTTTTCTGCAATGCCCAACTGCCACCCTGGCATGGAGATGGTGGGATAGGATTTGGAGACAAATGTTCCCAAATCAGGAGTGGCCCTGGGACTGGAGAGCAATCCTGTTAGGCCATCACCCATCCTCACAAGAAGATACATTCGAAAGGAACATGTTCTCCTTGGGTAGGAAGACGGTACTGTGGACCCTGTGGTGGCAACGTTGCGCGCTGGTGTTAGAAGGAAATAGGGTGGAGGGAGAAGAAAGAAGGGATCTATTTAAAACCCATTTTCAAATGGAACTGATGCAAAGGTGGCAGGAAACTAAAAAAACGTTAGATACACTCCACATGGCAAGGACATATCGACCAAGATTACTCAGTTCGCAGAAGAATGGTTAGGGGGGAAGAGGGAGGGATGGGTAGGAAGAGTTCACTGGTCAGGAGAGAAGGGCGGGGAGGACAGAGAGGAAAGCATGCGCGACGAAATCCCCCGAAACTATCACCTCTCTCCTTCAAGAACTGGACAGACGTGGACCCTAACACTGCCATGCGTCCCGCAGAGGATTTCCCGGACCCCTTCCCACCGCACCCGCTGGCTCTGGAGGAAAGGCTCTGAGACAGAATGGTCCGACACAGCCAATCCCTAGCTTATCTCTGCCTTCTCCGACCTGCAATTCCCT